TATACAATGGACCGCTCCCATTGAGGCTAATATTGGAGAAATGCATGGAATAAAAATATTTTGCAATCCTGTATTGTTTTCCTACCTTTTCTGATTTCTTCGAGATAAGGGTCAATTACTTTTTATTAATGCGTTGTTTGGTACATTATGTTAAAATAATATCAATTTTAAGATTGCACCATCATATATCAAATTTTTTTATTAACTTTTTCTAATATAAGGGTCTGTTATTATGTTAAAAATCCGGTGCGATGCGCGCATCACACAACTTTCACTTACCACCATCTTCTTAGCAGAAATAAGTATTTTAAGAGGACAAATGGAAGTGAAAGTAAAAGTTATAGAATGTAAGAAACTTCTTGTTTTAAATAAACAATTAATTACAATACGTTTTTCAAAGCCTTCTAATGTATTACATTTTAATTGTTTGACAGTAGCCATTTCCTTCTCAGACTGTATATTTCAGTTATTTATTTGATTATAATGAATTAAGTGTCACGAAATATTTTTAGTCTGACAAGAGTGCCACTGATAAAGAAAGCAGCTATATTTATTTATATTTCATTATGGGTATTTTTATTTTAATAAGAACCCTTATATATATATAAATATTAAATAATACCAATGATAGCATTTATGAAAACCGCATATGTATAAGTACATAATATTGTCGGAATCCGTAATATATTGAGCTCATGTTGTGTATAGAATTCTGTTTTAATGTTTCGGGTGAGCTAGGAAATATTGTTTCGGTTCCTTCGTATTCCTTTGGTTTCTCTACTATAACTATCCTCCGTTGCGATCTCTGATTTCTCCTTTAGTTAATTATAAAATTCTTTCATATTTTATATTTGACTATGTTTTATTTTAAATTAATGAGAAATGGTTAATTATTTTAAATTAAAAAAATTAAAGGTACTTTAGGGGAAGCTAATATTGAAAATTAGCTATTCAAGCCCTGTTAGAGAAAATCAGTGAGAATAAAACCTACATTATATTAAAAACTGCTTAATTTTACACCGATATAATGAATTTAATAAAAATCATGAACCATTTTCGTACCATTAACGAAAATCGTAAAAATGTGTTAAAATCTATGACATAAAGTGTCACTTCCAGCTTGGCGATTTGGCCGAAAAGTTGCTGTAACATCCCAGGCATATAAAAATCTTAAATTTGCTATTTCACTTTCATACAACTTTTCATTTTTGAGCTAGAATGTAGAACACACACACACTCGTGGAACTTGCTTATTTGGGGGATCTCATAACATGTACTTCCGTTGAAAACAAAGAATCGAAAATTTTCATGACCACAATACTCTCCCTTATTATATATTACATATATAGGTAAGTGAAAGTAAAAGTTGAATATATATATATATATATATATATATATATATATATATATATTATATATATATATATATATATATATATATAAATATTTTTATTATTTCTTGTCACAAAAGCAGTAGGTTCCTGAATTCCCAACAACAGTAAACACCCTAAAAAAAGTCTATATCCAGTGCCGGAGGTTTAAAAAAAAAAAATTAAAATTAAAGAGTGCAAATAACCAAGAGCCCCAACAAAAGGAAGGTTATTTACAATTGACATCCAAGAGGTTATTTAAAATTGGCCCCCAAACAAGGCTATTTACAATTGCCGGCCAACAGGTTATTTACAACATGTTGCCAAGGAAATTATATGAAATTTTCTTACTAAATGTTAACTCTTAAATTTTTTTCTAAGCTTGAAAACGAAAAGTATTTAAAATCCACTGAATCAAGCCAATGTCATGATTAAAATATTATTTCATTGTAAATAATTAATTATCTATTGGGCGTTTATTCCAAAAAATCATCAAGTAACCTTTTAGAAAATTAAATTACTAAATAATTTGATGAATTTTACCTTTGAGAAATCCTAACATTATTCACATACAATTAGTGTGACAACTATGTAAAGTACCTATCCATGGCAGACGATGAAAATCTCGTATTCATTTTAGTAAACTTTACGATGAAAAATAACAGTTTAATCACTAATAATAATCTATAATCATTTATAGGTTAAATATGCAGATATACTTTCAATTCTCTCTAGGCATATATGAGCCTTTCAGGTGACGGAATGAGTAACTCCAATTTTAACATTCTTTATTATTAATTTTAGTGATGTTTCTAGTGGCAAAATACCTTTATTCACACTTATATATTTTAACACTGCAATCACCTACTCTGGAATAAAATTACTCACTGTGTCTGTATAGATATAACTTTTCCAACGAGAAATATCACTAAAATGACATTACTCAAAAATGTTGAAATTGGAGTCATTATGTCAACTGAAAGGCTCAGAAACTGAACTTGTCTAGTTTATACAAGCAAATGGAGTAGCTACATTTTTATTGCCTACCGTCGATATAATAAATAGACTTTTTGTAATTTTAATGGTCTTAATGATTAGCTATCTGTAAGCTTTAAGCTATAGCCCAACATTGCCAGAAAATACTTTCTATTTAAAGTACAGCGGTAAGTGAAAGCTGTGTGTTGCGCGAACCAGATTTTTTTATCATATTAAATCCTTAACATAGTTCTAAAAATTTTAATTATAGACTCCTTGTATTGTTTATGATGACAGAAAATGTTTTACAGATATAAGTGGTATATAAATAGTCGTTATAAATAAATTTAACACAAAAATATGTTTAAAATGTATATGCACAGATTAGTAATGTAAATAACTGAATAAGCAAGCACAAAAATAACCGAACGTTATATATGATAAATATGAGTATACTTTTGAAACAATTGTCATAACTTTAGTCCACAATAAAGTAAAGTAAAAAAAAAAAAAAAAAAATAGATAACATACTGGTTAGAAAAACAAAACAAAAATGTTAATGGGAAGCATGGAGTCAGAAATTATGGTTCCAATATTGGCCACAGGCAAAGCTTACATGCATTAAGAAGAGCTAAGTACAATTATCACAACGGAACAAACACCTGAAACAAATATTTAGAAAAGATTAATGTGTATAAAAATTGGCAAATGGAAACAAACTGTTTTGAAAGTAAGATAACTAATAAAAATTTAAAGGTTTCCAAATCTGGTGAAAAAAAATTATTAACTTCTGTAAATTAATAAATACTGTGTGAACGATTGAACAGATCAATTCCTGTCTTATTTATTCAACTTTCATTAAATACATTTACTGGTGGTATTTTATTAACAAGATATGGTTTAAGAAAGTAATCCTAACATTTGACAAACATACTACGACTAACTGAATCATTCAAAATTTAAGAAGATTTATTTTGAAAATGGTCGTGTTTTAAAATACTCTGAATTAATATCTTGACTCACTACAGGACTACTATTAGACTACCCTAGTACCTTTTACTAGTATACTACTATTAACTGTTAAATACTCCTGACTTCTGTTCACTGTTTTCTTCAATGATGTTAAATGGTTTTGATTTTGGTTTAAGGCATAAAACCCAGGGGTCATCAATGCCTAGATATTACATGCGATGATTATAGTTTAAAAAGATAATATTTTGTATTAAAGAAAAAGCATTAGTATTGAGCTCCACCCTTAACAGCATACAGGAGGAAGAGGAAGGATAAGAAAAGTCTTAAGAAATAATTCTAGTCATATGAGGTGTAAGATGGAAATATCTGAAAATTGTAGTAAATTATAATTACAAAATGCATTTTTTTCATTGGCACTATAATAGCGTTGTTATTAGATATGAGTGTGTTTAAAGAAATTTTTCTTTTTTAAATACAAAAAAAGGACAATCCTGCTTTAGAAGTGGTTCAAAATCTACCAGTTGTAATCTGAATTCCAGAAAGTTGGATTGTTAAGCCTAGTAAGATGTGTGGACAAAGTCACATTAAAAAACCCATTAATAAGTTAAAAGTATAGCACATCATGCTAAAGTAATTATAATGAGAGCCTACCAAAATATTAACAAAAAGTATCACTAAGCGAAATATACCACAGTAAATTTTTTTTGCAAGTATATTTAACGTAAACATGAGTGGTTTCCTGTTAAGTTTCTTATCGAATATAATGATGCATTACAATCTAAGGTGATTGTGAAAGGAATCAAGAAATAACAGAAGGATATTATAATTCATGAAGGTGATGAGTATTTTATTTAAAAGTGGATACATTTAAAGGGGTCAGGGGAAAAACAGTATGACTTCATTGTTTCCATTTTGATGATGTTAACTTATAGTCCAGAGAAAGCTGAATTGTATTGTCTAAACATTTTGGTGAAACAGTTAAAACACCTAGATTACAGGATGCAATTCAGAATTTGGAAATTTTATTTTAAAGCACTATGACAACTAAAATAAATGCTAAAAATAATTCTTTTGTCATTAAAAAAAAAAAAAATACAATTTTTTTGGATTTTAGTTCTGGATGTATGTGGTACTTAAGCTTTTTCCATTTAAGGATTTTTTATCGACTACCTATCTATTGTGATTTAATTTACGTTACTTTTCACTCAGTAACTAATCTATTAGTTTCTGAAGAAACGTTTTTTTCTATTTTTCTTTTCTACAGATATGAAAAAAATCTCGAACCTATTATAATTTTTTTTCCCCTTTCAATTTGATGGTAGTTATTTAACTATGCGAGTCAGTATTCAATATGTTAAACAAGGGATGAAAATTCATTTCACTTCATATTCAAATTGTTATAATAATATGACAGTTATAAAAAGAAGGTTAAAGACCTTTAGTAAACAAGGGAGAGTTAGTAATTTGAAAAAGTTTCTTAGTAACTTTACCAACAAAACAGTTAAAACGTAACATGAAGCAAAAGCCTAACAAAAATTCTTTTTAATGAGGATATAAAAGTTGTAAATGGTTATATTAATTACTTTCATTTCTGTTCTAAAATAAAATAACAAAGATAAGGAAAGGTAGAACATAAAAGAAAACAAATAAATTATAATAAGAACATCTGATAGAGATACTCACTGAGTCCAACCATCTTGTCAGGGACTTTGATATCTACTGTGTAAACTCCCCCAGATAGACCTGGAACCATTGTCTGGGGTGATTGCCTTGGAGGTCCAGAAGGAGGAGAGGCAGCAACTTTCTTGGCATCAGGTTCTAGCACATATGGAAAAATCATTTGACCTACCTTTATTACAGCATTGAAAATTTAGCATCTGTTTAGGTCTGAACTTCATTCAAAAATATATGTTAGTTTAATAAAAATAGTTAATCACTAACTATATAATTATACAGTTTATTATCAATTTATAAAACCTAATGTTAAACTCACTACACTTCCTAATAAAGAGATGTAAGAAATATTTGCTATTGGAGATTAAATTATAGTTTTATTGTTAAGTAAGGAGATAACATATTTAAATCATTCATAAACATAAAATGGATGATTCACAAGTTTTTCTTAATCACTGTGATACAGTTAAAACTGTCAACTAGTAGTCAATTAATGGGTTTTTTAATGCTTATATTTACCAAGTAATATTCAGTTATTGATCTGTTTTACGCGCTTATTAATAACTACAATTATTAGTATTAATAAATACATGTAAAAATTGAAAACTAAAAGCAGAGGTGGGCAAAAACTTTTCTGAGTACCGAGTACCAATTATTTAACTCAAATTGAATTCACTGTTGGGAATTCATCCACTACTTCAGTTAATAGTTTGACATTAACTGAAGTAGTAATTCCATTTTTTGGTACTAAGAAAAAAAAGGTCAGTATTTGAGTAAAATACTTGGTATCAGTACACAGAATAGCATTTGCCCATCTTTGACTAAAAGAACCATGTAAACTCACATGATAGGAAGTCAATAGAATATTGGGAAAAAGAGGGTTGGCAGAAACAAACTCTCAGTAAGTGCAAGAGAATAAACATTAAAATATCATTGAGCCATTGAGATAATACCGGTAAAACTTGTCTATGGATAAGTAGATTAGATTTGGCCCATGTGGATCAAGGAACTGTATTCTGGAGGATCATAAAAAAATATGTAGATCGATGAAACACAAACTGTACATAGTATTGGGTTGGCAAATAAGTCCTTTCAGTTTTTCTATTTATTTTTATGTCACTATGATACACTTCTTATCTGATGAATTAATCCCTAAGGTGGATTGTTTATCCTGTTAGTAATATATCAACAACTATATCTGTTAAATCTTGTTGAAACTAGCTTAGTATTGTGTTTGCTATTGCACTGTGAATATGGTAGAAAATATCATTCATTATCAGCATATTTTGTTGTATTATTTTTAAAAAGGTAAGCATGCTACAGCTCATAGAAAAATTTGCAATGTTTATGGGGATGATGACTCAACCAAATGCAGCTGTCAAAATTGGTTTGCCAAATTCATTCATTCAGGAAATTTTGACATCAATGATGCTCAACGGCCTGGTCGCCCACACAAAATTGAACTGAGCAATGTTAAGGCCATTGTTGATCAAAATCCCACCTTATCAGTGCGAGATTGCCATGGCCCTAAATGTGTCGCACACAAGCGTAGAAAACCATTTTCACAAGCTCGGCTATGTCTCCAGGCTTAATTTTCGGGTCTTTCACATGATTTTTTTTTTTTTTTTCGAATATCACAAAATGTTATAACTTCAATACGACTTTAGCTATCTACAGGAAATTTAGGGTCACATAAACTAGACAAAATGATATCGACAGAACCTTCGTAAACAAACTACAAATGGAGATAAAAAATAAAAACCTATAAGGAGTTTTTGTTTATTGATTCCTTATGTAGGCATTAAAAAACCATTCCTACAGCTTGGAAGAGCAATAATTCAGCTTTCGAACGGATATAGTAACATCGAATCATAACTGAAGAGTTATGAATGATCAGAAGTGTGTTGTATTCCACCAAGACAACGCTCAGCCCTACATCTCATTGGTCATTCGCAATGAATCATTAAGCCTCGGATGGGACCTTTTGCCCCAATACTAGCAGAAATAGCTCTAAGTGACTAACAGTTATTCCGTTCTCTACAGAACTCCATGAATGAAAAGAAATTTTAAAAGAAAAGAGGACATCAAAAACCTCTTGGATCAGTTTTTTAACAATGAACTCCAGACATACTATGAACATGGCATTATGTAGTTAGTGGAAAGATGGGAAAAAGTCATATTAAATAACGGTCATTATATTGTAGATTAAAATTAATTTAATGTCTATAATACACTGAGTTTTATTTTACCCTGAAAAACTGAAAGGACTTATTTGTCAACCCAATAATTCTGTTTTCAGTTTTAAAAATTGCACTGATCAGAAAGGTACATGTATAATTATATACTTCAAATATTGAACTACTTAATAAATAAATAAAATGTTAATATAAGAATCAAAATTTTATATTAATTAAAACTGGTTTATTTAATTCCATTGAATAAAATATCTTAATTGAAAATTAATAAAACAGAACTTATAATATAAATTTAAAGTTGTAAAAACTTTGATATAAACGAGTATAGGTAGATAAATTACAATTTCATGTATTAATTTAATTGAATACTTATAGTTGACCATTGTATTATTAAGGAAGGAGATGGTCCTGGGTGGCGGTCATAAATAGACTAAATAGTTTTGGTCCCGGACCATCTCCTTCTGTATTAATTTAATGTATTAATTAATCTTAATTTATAGGTTAAAAAAATAACACATTATTAATTTAAAGAAAATTTAAACAATATAAACAACCATTCCCTTTAATAAAAATTCAATTCATAAGATTTATTTCATAATTGCAGAGCGTTTGTCTGGGAAGCAAGAAGGAATTAGTAAAGAAGGTATTTTAATGAGGACAAGGAAGATTCATGGTGGATGACTAGATGTCAAGGAATCTTAATGGAGGAGCAGAATGTGTCTATTATTATCAGAATGTGGCATCGTCTATTATTATGCTTCCCTAAGTAGAGTTAAAATACTATCGATTTTATGTTACACTTACGAATATTGATTTATTGTACCTATTCCGATTTATAGGGTCTAGTATTATTATTATGCTGTCCTGTGCCTAGTTTTTAAAAATGGCCTAATTTTTATGATTACGTCACCGCGTTTCGACTTATTTAAGTTTTTTGGCTTTATTCGATATGAGGGTGTATTCTTATGTTTCTGGAGCCGTAGATTTCGAAAATGACCTACTTTTTATGATGACATCACCGCGTTTCGACTTATTTAAGTTTTTTGGATTTATTCGATATGAGTGTGTATTCTTATGTTTGAGGAGCCATAGATTTCGAAAATAACCTCCATTTTATGATTACGCTGCTGCGTTTTGACTTATGTTTTTCAAATTTATCGAATATAAAGCTCTACTTTTATGTTTCCTGAGCCGTAGATTTTGAAAACGACCTCCATTTTATGATTACGCCACTGCGTTTCGACTTATTTGAGTTTTTCGGATTTATTCAATATAAGAGTGTATTCTTATGTTTCCGGGGCCGTAGATTTTGAACATGACCTCCATTTTATGATAACACCACTGCGTTTCGACTTATTTAAGCTTTTCGAATATATTCCATATAAGGGTGTATTCTTATATCCACCGGAGCGGAGGATTTTGAAAATGACCTCCATTTATCGCATAAATTAGAAAAATTTAAATAAGTCGAAAAGTGGTGGTGTAATCTTTAAATGGAGGTCACTTTCGAAATCTACGGCTCCGGAAACATAAGAATACACTATTATATCGAATAAATCCGAAAAACTTAAATAAATCGAAACGCGGTGGCGTAATCATAAAATGGAGGTCATGTTCAAAATCTACGGCCCCGGGAACATAAGAATGCACCCTTATATCGAATAAATCCAAAAAACTTAAATAAGTCGAAACGCGGTGGCGCAATCATAAAATGGAGGTCATTTTCGAAATCTACGGCTCCAGAAACATATGAATGCACCCTCATATCGAATAAATCCAAAAAACTTAAATAAGTCGAAACGCGGTGACGTAATCATAAAGAGTAGGTCATTTTTAAAAACTAAGCACACGACAGCATAATACTAGACCCTAATAAATCGGAATAGATACAATAAATCAATATCCGTAAGTGTAACATAAAATCGTTACTATTTTAAAAAACTCTATTTATTGGAGCATAATAATAGATCTTTATATCGTAAGGGAAGGGGAATGCCTCTTATTTAAAAAAAAATCAAAAATTTACAAAAATTCGAAACATTAATTTGAAATGGAAATGGTTGAATTTGAATTGGAAAAGGTTTAATTTGAAATGGAAATGGTTGAATTTGAATTGGAAAAGGTTTAATTTGAAATGGAAATGGTTGAATTTACATAGAAAAAGTTTAATTTGATTTGGAAAAGGTTGAATTTGACTAGGAAAAAATTGAATATGACATAGAAATATTGTACTGAAAAAATCTAATAAGTTAAAATAAACAGATATGCAATCGCGTTATCATTTTTTTTTTTTTTTTTTTGTATTTTTCAAAAGCTATGTCTTTGATAATATAGTAAGTGGACATCATTTCGAAAAAAATCGACAATTGACAAAAAATCGGAAGTTTAATTTGACTTGGAAAAGGTTGAATTTGACTTGGAAAAGGTTGAATTTGAAATGGAAAAGGTTTAATTTGAATTGGGAAAGGTTTAAATTGACTTGGAAATACTATATCATCAAAATCCCAATAAAAATACAATTTGCAATCTTTTAGCAATGAGGAATACTCATGACTGAACAAGGCATACATTTTATTTAGAAAAATAAAAATTTTCAATTTTATTTAAGATTATAGAACAAGGCATATAATTATTTTTAAAAATAAATATTTCCATTTTTATTTAAAATTATAGAACAAGGCATATAACTATTTTAAAAAATAAAAAATTTCCATTTTTATTTAAAATTATAAACAACAAAAGATGAAACTTTTTTTTACTTTCACTTGCCTATTATGTGAGATATATAGTAAGGAAAAGTATTGTGGTCGTAAAATTTTTCGAATTTGAATTTTCAAGGGAAATACATGTTTTGAGGTCCCCTGAGTCGAAATAACCAAGTCCTGCAAAAGAGTCTATGTTTGTGTTAACAGTCTAATTCAAAAACGAAAATGAAATTGCATATTTGAG